ATGCTGCTTGTTTTTTATCTATATAGTGAAGGTTTTGTAATTAGAAAAAGCTTGCCAATATGTTGACTAGCTTTTTCAATAAATTGAAGAGTTACTGGAACTATATCATGTTTTATTTGACTTTTTGGGACTGGATAAAAAAGATTTCTTTAAAGGCGTGTTTATCAAACAAATTAGTAAGATAATTTTTTAATGTGTTGGTATATGGACAGTTATTGCAAATGTGCAGCATGAAGTCTTGATTTGTTTAGTTACATACAACTAATGTTAAGAGATTTTTACAGTCTAAAATATCTATTGTTTTTAATGCTCAAAGTTTTCATTCTTAAGGTACTGAGTGGACCTGATGATCCTCCAACAGGAATACACCTCTTTGGTCTAAGTTCACAAAAATTAGAAAACGCAATCTTGACATCAAATTAATTTTTAAGGAACTCTAAATTTAGTTCTTTTATATTTACAAATAGTACTCTTTTTTGAAAATGTTGCCTTTTACCTTCAAATTGGATTGAGACATACTGTTTCTTTCCTGGACATATTGGAGAGTATTTGTCTGATTGTTCATGAACTATTATAGTTCATGAGCTTGATTTTTTACTTTCTTATTAATAGATCTTACTTCTTTTTTTAATGGTTCTGCTATTATGCCATGCATTTTTTTCAAATACCTTGACGTTTTTATCATTCTTAGGAAAGCAGAAAAATAGTTTTGTTTATAATTAATGTTATAAACAAGCTCATAGGAACCAAAGTCAGTAATTTAAGTTTTTCTGATTTTGAAGAAATATCAAACTTTGCTTTAATTAATTCCATTAGTAGCGGAGCAAGGGGAGGGGAGGGGGGGGCAAGAGTTAACTTTTTCTAGATTTTGTGTAGTTTAATGACTTTTAATTAAATTTCAGATTTTGAATTAATTAATACTTTTTTATCTTTATAAATATGTAGCCTTCTACTTCAATTTCGATATAAGTGATAATTTTGACAAAACAATCAATTGTTAAATGAAATCATTATTATTAGAGTAGAATTTTAAATATTTTTCTTTTCATTTTATCAATAAAATACGTTATCATTGTGTGTAATTATGAATACAACCAAAAAATTGTTTATACATGAAATTAGTCCATGTAATGATGTAATGATGATGTAAGGAACAATTTGTAATGATTGATAGTCAAAATGCAAAACAACTTTATTGCAGCCTTTATCCAGTGGTTGCAGTTCTTGCTCATGTCATCAAGACATCAAGAGGCCTGAAATTTGATGTCGGCTCTGGCCAGATAAGGGACATTGATAAGGAAGGAGGCATAACCTTCCTGGTTAAATTGCACTTCCGCGTTGCTTTGTGACAAGACCACTAGTTCTTATTGGAATATTTTTTGTCACCTAGACAACTAAAAAAAAAGTCATCATAGGTGATTGTGGATTGTTGTGAGAACTTTTCAAGTAGGAGCTTTATTAAGCTCTAAATTATTAACCTATACTTCTGTAGACATAAGATGGCATATTTTGCATTTTTATCAACAATTATGATTATAAATAGAGTGAATCATAGAGTGTATTTCTAAAATAAATAATCTCATTCATTAATTGTTTTTGGCATTTAATAGATCTCTCTTTTTCAATATATATAATATGATGCTTACTGTTCTTATTTTGCTAACCTGCTCTGTTTCAGTTGTAGCTATTGCTGGTTTCAACTGTATTTTATATTTTCAGTTTTTTTTATGATGGGACGCATTTACCGAAATATTTCTAAAGTTTCTAAATATTCATTTCTCATATAGTTTTGGTATTTAAGTATATTACCACAAGGAATTGTTGAAATTGACAGTATTTCAGAAGTTGAATTGAGTGCCTCACTGTCGCTTAAGTTCAATTTTATTTGTAATTGTTCTATCAACTCCAAAAACTTGATTAAAAACTTAATTCTCATAAGTTATTCCATGATTGTATCTTTCTCCAAACCTATAATAATTTCTTCTTTTCTGTTGAAAAGAAGAAATATAGCTAAATTTTACAAAACTATATTTTGCAAAATTATATTTGCAAAAATGATACAATTATTTGAGTTCTTTGTTGCGCCTTTACAAATGATACAATTATCCAAGTTCAGAATGATACAATCTTGCATTATGTTTTTTAAATACAAATCGCTATAACTACTGAGCAACAATCAGTTTAATGAAAAGTTTTAAAAAATAATTTATTGTTGACTTCATTAAAAATAAGTACAAGAACAACTCTTAGTAATGGCAACTTTGTATGATAAAATTTGTCAACTACTAGAAAATTTCTATAGAAGTTTATTAATTTTAGTTTAAAACTAGTTTGTTACTTATTGTTGCATTACTTTTCATTTTATTTGGTATCTAAATTTAGTTAATAAAATTAATAGCAAAGTATTTAGTTAATAAAATTAATAGCAAAGTATTTTTCTAACAAAGTAAAGTAAAAAGCAAGTTTTTACACAGGATATAACTTTTGTTGAAACGCAACTTTTTGTTATTTTAATTCAACTTTATCCAATCAAAATTTAAATTGCAAAAATTTAACATAAAGTTGTGTAACTTTACACAAGTAAAATATTAAAAAGATATTAAAAAGATATTGAAAATATTAAAAAACTTAAAAAATAGAAATCTTTACTCTGTAAAGATTTCTATTTTTAAAGTTTTTTAATATTTTTTTAAATGTTAAAATAGAAGTGAAGGTCAACCACAAAAAATTGTAAATATTAAATTGTTTTTTGAACTTTTAAAAAATCAATTAATATTATCTGGTTAAACAAAAAAATATATATAATTTTGGACCCCCTCCCCCCTTCTACCATTAGTGAGTTCAAGTCTTTTTTACTTTTGTAAAAAAGCTCTTTTGTTTAAGATTCATCATTCATGCAGAATGATGAATCTTAAACTCCTAAAATAGTTTTCTTTTTTTCTTGACCTTATGAGCTGCTAGTTATAATGAAGAACCAAGGCTTGTCTTTATTAGTTGCTAGTTATATTGAAGAACCAAGGCTTGTCTTTATGAGTTTCTAGTTATAGTGAAGAACCAAGGCTTTTAATGCTTGAATTTCTTTTGAAAATTGAGTCTAATTAAAATCATTATTCTTTATCTTTATAAACTTGCCATTTATTTTTAATTCTTATCTTAAATAACTTTTAATTATTAAAAATTTACGATTTTTTAGAATTAATAAACTTCATAGTATAACATTTAAACATGGTTTCACCTGAAACCAAACTCTTTTTATAATAGCTTTCATGGAAACATTTTTTAGTTAAGAGTTTTGAAGAGTTTATAAAATAATTATTTTTTTCAAATACATAAGGATTTTTAGGTTTGTATAATTTACATATGAAAAATATTATCTTTTAAACTTCAAACATTTGTAGATAGTACTCTGAGCTATCATCTCAGGTGTTACCCTTTGCATTATATTTTATAATTTGCATTATAACACTGTGAGATAATAAGCTTTTATCTTAAAACTGTTTTTTATAAAAATAATCTTGTTTAGGTTTTTAAAAATATTTTTTAAGATTATTATTGTATTGCTATAAGTGTTTTAGAAAAGATAAATGTTATTTAAGAAAAATAAAAAAAGTAGAATAAATGAAAGTGATTAAAAATTAAGTTTATATAGTATTGTTGGAAAATCAGATTATGACCAAGGATAGTAGAGATGTAATATTTTAGATTCATTAAGTGTTTGTGTGTGTATTGAATTTTCATTAAAAGCTCATTTTATTTTAAATTTTACCTATCAAAAAATTTGATGTTTACAGTCTTGAAAGGTTTTTAAATTCAGTATTTGTATCTTTTTTTTTTTTATTTTATTTTTGAATATTGAATAATTTATGAACAATTTCTTTTCAAAAACATTTTTTTTTAAATTCTTAGCTTTTTTTTAAAAAAGAAAATAGTTTTAATTGAATTAAATAAAAAAATTATTCTGAGTTTAAACAAAATACAGGTGCATTTTTTATAGTGCTGTGAATGCTGAATGCAAAAAATTGTTTTTAATCATGATTCCATGACTTTAAAATCTTGATTAACTTTAATGTTAAAAGTTTATAAAAGTTTTTCTAACTATTCTTTTTACTTATTTAAATTTGTGGTGTCAAAATTTAGCATATATACTATGCAATATATTTTGAATTCTTGTTAATAATTGTGATTTGAAATTAGAGGATGTTCTTTGATATATTTAAATACTTTACTTATATAACTTTTTGTTATTCTAAACTAAAAAATTATTGTGTATAAATATTTAGTCAGTAGCTTTTTATAAATAAAAAATAATCTTGTATATTCATTATTATCATTGAAGTTTTCTTTTTAAAAATCACTCAATTTGTTAATACTTAAGCCATATAAACCCATAATTAAGACATTTAAGCTTCTTTATTAAAAAATATAGTTAGCGGATATTGTCATAATATGATCTATTGTTTTAACTTATTTATTATTTTTTTATCATTGCTGTAAAGGTTTATTTATTTTAAAACATTTAAAAGTATTTTTTGTAATACATTTTAAAGTACAAGCAAGTAATATTTATTGTTTGTTTTGTATTTATTAAATAAACTGGTAAATGATAGATTAAATCATGCTTATTTTGTGGTTTATTATTTCAACTTTTTATGTTTCATTGTAATTGAGAGTACATTATTTAATGACAATTGGTTGCTTATTTAATGACAATTGATTGCATATTTAATGACAATGGCATATTTTTTTCAATTATTGATTAGTGACTTTTTTACAATATTATTTGAATGTTGAAATTTTTTAAATAAATATTGTGTAATTAGTAATTTTTTTGTGTTATAAATACTGTGTAAATAAGTCACATTTTTTATAAGTATTGTAAAACAGAGGATCAGTTATAAGTGGAGGGCTTAGGTAATTTTTTTATTTTTGGTTTTAGATTAATTTTGTATGAAATTAATGTGATTTCAATTTAAATATAATTATAAAATAAAAATTTTTAGACCATGAAAAATACTTAGTTACAAAGTAAATGGCAGATGAAGATCCACTTAAAGTTCATCGTGATCTTCTTATAGCTTGTGGGTGGGGAAAAGAGATTGACGTCATTTTGTTGTTGCAGCAAGGTGGTAGTGTCCGTGTACAAGATCAAGTAATATTTTTAAAACTCTAAAACACAATATTAAATTTATAGATTGGATAAAAAAATCATTTTTTGTTTTATAGAAGAAAAAAAAATTGTTAGGTTTTAAAATCTTAATTTTGAAATTATTTTAAGGATGGTAAAAATTGTTTACATTACTCAGCTTGCAAAGGACATATACAAGTCACAAACTTGCTTATTGAAAAAGGGTGTGCTATTAATGCTCGTGATAAGGTATTATTTTTATTATTATATTTATATCTATTACAGTTTACATAAGGAACAAGTGAAGTTTCTCAGCCATTGTGATGGCAAATTTGGATAAGGAAATTAGGTGTAGGATGAGCTTGTAAATAATGTAATTTGTCTAGTGGTGGTGTTAAGGTTGGACTAGTTAAACTTTTTTTTGTTACAAAAAATATAGAAACTGTTTCATAAAAATATTTAAACCACAACACTCCTTTGCCACATTTTTTTTTTTTTTTTTGACTTTTTTCCCAAGTTAATGTTTAGAAAAATGGGGTAGGATTTTCTTGATGTTTTTTTTTTAATTATTTCTTTTAAAGTTTTTTATTTTTTCACTGGACTCTTAATCACCTTGAATCCAATCTTATATCCACTTTAATCTCAATTCAATTTTATATCCACTTTGTATTAATATAAAAAAACCTAACTATATTGCTTTATTGTTATTTTTACATAAAAAATCAAATGTGTTTAAATTAAAGACTGTTTTTTTTTTTAGTATGTGTGTAATAGTTTTAATTAATGATTATTAATTATTAATACTGATATTATTTTGTAATTACAAAAAATTTAAAAGTTATAAAATTAAATCATAAAAAATCATGATATTCAAAAGATGACATAGTTATATGATAACATGATATTTAAAATTACGTTGTAATATTATCTACACATGCACTATTGATTAATATGTGAGGTTGCAATCTATATGTGCAAAGTTCAAATTAAATGTTTATTTTAATGATAAGAGTAAATTTTCTTTATTATATGGCTTTGAAATATATTTTATAAGTTATTATAAAATATATTTCAAATATATTTTATAATAACTATATAAACTCATGTATAACCCCTAGTAACAAAAATAAATAAACACAAGTAGTAGTAGTAGTACAAAGGAAAGTTTAATGGACAAAAATATAATACATAATAGTAATATACTTATTTTTTACTGTCGGGAATGATATAATACTTTCTTGCCATTATAATGCACTGCTGCAATTTTTCTGTACACATATTCGCACATAAGTTGTACAAGATTTTTATAAACTTTTTTTAAACAACATTCTTTATGCAGTTGATTTTCATTTTCAGCTTCCTCATTGTCTTCATACACATAGCATTTAAAGACTGACCAGAAATTCTCAATAGATCTTAATTCTAAGACACCAGCTGGATTATTAACTTTTGTAACAAATTGGATATTTTTTTGTCCAAGTAATTGGTCACACTTCTGGCATAGTTCAAAAAGGCCAAGTCAGGCCAAAATACATAATTATCATCACTGTGTTGTTTGTTAATAAAAGGAATCAATCTTTTGATAATGCAATGATTTTATACATTGTTTGTCAGTTAAATTGCTAGTCACACAGGATTGAGAGATTCCATGAGGGGATATGGTAATCCACACAAGAATTTTTTTTTTCAAATTTGCTTTGCACTTTTATTTTACATTTTTTAGATTATCTGATTAAAACTCAATTACAATCTTTGTTTGTATGTTTAAATGTTAAGTATGACTCATCATCAATGACAAATTCAAGGTTTCTGAATTTGAATTTGTTTCTGAATTTTTCCACACTTTAGTTACAAATGCTCTAACTGTTTATCAGTGTGATGATTTTATAACAGGAATTCTATCAAATATATTTTTCTTTAAATAAAAAATCCTTGATTTTTTTTTTATTGTTTTTACAATGATGAATAGTCACACTTGAATTTTTTTTACAATTTTCTGTCTAAAACTGTTGTTTAAGTTCTAGACCGGTTGTACAAGAGATCTTTCAGAGGATTGATGTTCTTATTTTTTGGTTTTCTGTCTGATCTAGGCTTATTAAAATGTTGATTCATTGTACTTCCACTTTGCTGCATGGCGTTTGATTGGTCGTTCACATTCATTAGAGGCGACACAATAATATACATTTTAGCATTAGGATGGAAATAACAGCAGTTGTACACTTGTTCTATTAAAGTAGTTTCTTAGTATTTTTAAAAAGTAGTAGTATTGTTAAAGTACTATAAATTAGTAAATAACTTCTTTTTGCTGTAACTTTTTTATTAACTAATATAAATAAATAAAACTTTCAATAAAAGAAAACAACAAAGAAAGTGAGACTTTGTAAAAAAACCCAACATTTTATATGCAAAGCAACAAAGAAAATGAGGCTGGTTAAAAAAAAAAAAAACATTTTATATGCAAAACAGCAAATAATGTGAGGCTGGGTAATTACAAATTCAATAAATTTTTATTGCTAAAAGGTTGTGTCAAATTTTTGTCATCAGGGGGTAAATCAAGAAATTTTATGTAAAATTTTCTAGTCAAAATAACCACTTTGATTTATACCAAGGTCATAAAAATCTCTAACTCTACCTAAACTAAAAATCTCTAACTCTTCCTATATCCCGGGTGTTATTGTTCAGGAATACCCTAAAGGATGGATGGATAAGGCACACATTTCTGGATGTGCAATGTCTGGAACAAGAGACCTGGATCAATGAACAGCTAGAAATCCTTATTGGTATGAGGTATGTTTAAAACTCATCTCACTGATGATTGTAAAAAAATTAGCAACCTAAAAAATCTTGACCTTAATAATCTAAGAATCACATCTATGCTCAAGCCACTAGTTGTTTCTTTTAATCTATTATAGAATTTGCATGATGTGGACTAAATGGATGAGTTTAGGCTCAGGATCTTTTTAAAGATGGAAACTTTAATAAAAACCAAACATTACATTTGTTGCTCCTTTTGTTAATTAGGCTTGTAAATCAATCCCATAGTCTGCGATCAATCCCAGAATCTATGATTTATTCCTGAAATGTGGCATCAGTAATGCTATGGATAGATTGGATGATGATGGTTTATTTGTAGATAATGCAGTTAATCTGGAAGATGACAGAGGCGATCAAGGCTCATACTGAGTATAATGATTACACAAAAGGCCAGGCTTGATATAAACACACACAAATATTAAAGCACATTAAGATCAATAATCAATAATTGTAAATAAGTATATTTATATACTGATTTGTGAATTACTGAAATAATTTATGGCAATTTTGTTTTATAAATCATTAATGTCATATTAAACATTACATAAAAGTTTGTTGTAATAGTTTATATCCTTAGTACTTTATGACCTTTTACATCAATCAGAGCTTGTACCTTTTTTAGCATGCCCCTATTTAGAGTTTTACAAAGTTCTTGTTTCTTCTCTGAATGAAACCATGCATGGATCATAAATAGAACCATGCATTCTGTTAGTTGAGTTTTTGTTGTAACTTGTATCTCATGTAGAGTCGCTAGTACCATGCACAGAAATGGTTTCCCAAACTATTATCTTTGTGGAAAATTTTACTGTCTGGCAAAAATATTTTGGCTTGAACTCTTCTTCCTGTTTTCTTAATGGTATTACTTTGTTGTCAAGAACAGCTATGGTAGATTCATCAAATAATACAATCTGCTCCTGTTGCTGATCTGTCCATTCTTTATGAGTCAGTCCCCATGAGGGGCAATCATTTATCACTTCCAGTGTGAGTCTTGTTTTTTTTCAAGAAAATTTAATGAAACATTTTTAAACACCAAGTTCTATAGTCACTTACGGCACTGTTAATACCACATTTTCCAATTCATCTTGTTACAAGTGGAATACCTATATCAATTTTTTTTTTCACTCTGGTAACAGAACTATTTAATTTAGTTCAGAATTTTTTAATAAAACACTAATTTGTCTAATTTTTTGAGGTCCAAGGTCACTCTGCTTTTTTGCAAAAAAGTGGCAAAAAAAAGTGTCAGAAAGTTGTGTTTAATTTCACACAAGAAAAAAACCATAAAAAAAAAAGAACAATTTCAGACACCATGATGAAAACTCCATAATTTGGGCATTCATGACTAACAAAGATACCACAAAGACCTGTAATCTTCTAAGTTTCACTGCGATTGCTATTAATTTTTCCAGTACAGTATTATTATGTATATATATATATATATATATATATACATAATAATACAATCATAGAATCCTCTCTAGAAGTGGTGGAACATGGTCTTCCACCTTGTTATCTGCTGCCAACTTCCCCATAGAAGGATACATAGTCTTGGAACATAGTCTTGATACGGTCCATTTTTTCACGCGATATTTATCACAAATACTTTTTTGTGACATTCCACTTATGTAAACACCAATAATTTTCTTTCTTAGTTCCAATCCAAGACTGTCGGAAGCTATTTTTGCGCTTGAAGTCATGAAAATAATAAAAATAAATAATCACGCTTCTCAAGGCTTACCGTGTTACATTTGCCTTGTGATGATACAATAATGCTCTGTGGAACACAACGTCTTGGTTGGATGTGGACTGTATTGATGTAATAAAACACTTGTTGTATTTCACTTCTTGTATTGATGTTCTTCAATAAAACACTTTGATAAAACTCACTTCGATAAACTGTCATGATAATACTGACTGATTGACTTCAATATACCGACTGAATTGCATGTCGGTTTACATATCTCATATAGTAAAATGAACCTGTGTGAACCTGTTTTGAAAGATTCTAGATACTTCTTTTCTGGAAGCATCGAAAAGAAGCATCTAGTCAACCAAATTCTGCCAGAAAAGATGGCAATTATCAACTGAATTCTGCCTGTGTTCTGTCACCTATCAGCTGATTGCTCATGTCATGGCATGCTATGACTTCAGACTCCTGAACTGTTTCCTGTGGTAGTATAGTTTTTAGCATTGTTATAACACTTTTTAGCATTGTTCGATGTTGGTTGCAAATGTTTATACATAAAATTGTATACATATGATTTATGTGGAAACGCTGTGTTTATTTTATGTTGAATTCTATCAAAAACAATCTAGAATAGCCCCTAATATATATAGATATTTATATATATTGACTAACTGGTTAGAGTGTATTTGTATAATGTATTGTTTTAATTTTTTTAGGGTTACAGAACACCTCTTCATCTAGCATCTGAAGAAGGTCATCATGATATTGTTTCTATACTTCTTGATAATAATGCAGAATATAATATTCAAGATGAGGTAAAACGTTGTTTTAAAAACTTTTGTTTTTACATATGAATTTGTTGGTTTTAATTTTGTTAAAAAAAAAAAGATTATTTTAATTTTTGATTCAATATTTACTTACCAATGATCCATAAAAAAATATCTTTATGTATCTAATTTCTTACATATGGCGTCTATAAGCATGCATGATTATATCTTATTCATGTTTGCTTATAGACACAGAGTAAGTATAAAGATCTAGGTAGTACACAAGAATGTACTCTGAATGTATAAAATTGGATGTAAGGTTACTAATTCAATTTTTACATTGTAGTTAAAGTATAAGAAGGAGTAATTATCACCATGCTATAAATCTAAGATTTGATGCGAGGAATGGAAATTTTGACAGAAATGTCAAAATTTCCTTTGAATTATATTAAAATATGTTGTTTTTTTTCTTTAATTTAAATTTCTATTTAAATAATACAAATCAAAATAAGATCTAATTTGTATAGTTTTATGGTATGTTTAAATCAAAAAAATATTTATTAATAGGAAAATATTTATTAATAGGAAAATATTTATTAGTAGGGAAAATATTTATTAGTATGGAAAATATTTATTAGTAGGAAAATTTCTTACCCGGTTCACAAGTTTTCTTAATTTAATAGGCTGGCATAGATTTTAAGCTGTGTTACATAGCTTCCTGTTTATGATCACTGGATCTACTCGACTCTACTCATAGGTTTTTTTTTTGCCATCTTGGTAGTGCAACTTTTTCAGTTATCGCCAATTAGAGTATATCTCTAAAACTCAGTTCTAAGGTCAGTTGGCAGTAAGGTTTCTAGTAGTAAGTGATCAGGGTCCTGCCCCTAACTAAAATCGTGACTTTTCACAAACTCGGTCCTAGCAAAATTATAAGAATTAGCAGGGTTTGATAGCCCGGCTAGAAAAACATTTATAATAATTTGTATATTATAAAACTTTGCATACATTTGCTATTTACTAAATACTATATATATATATATATATATATATATATATATATATATATATATATATATATATATATATATATATATATATATATATATATATATATATATATTAAAAAAAAACAACGAACTAATTCACTTTTAGTAAGGTTGCAGACAACTGCTATTATGAGTTACTAGAAAATAAAGGATAGGTTTAAAGAGAAATGGTTAACTAAAGACTTAAAAAGTTCCAAGTTGTATGAATCAGGTAAATCTGAAGATGGGTGAATATTTTGAAATTTTGTTATTGTGCGAGGAAATAAACTAGATGAATAAAAATTTTTATAGCATTGAGGGACAGATACAGTAAAAGTACGCAACTTTGTTGAATAACAAGCCAAGTGAGAATGAGTTTTGGTTGATCGAACTGAGAGTTCGATCGTTTTGGTTGATCGAACTAGAGATTGTTACACTACTAGAGATGGTTATTGCATCATAGTATTGCATTATAGTATTAGTAGAAAAAAGAAAGAGATGTAGCCTTACTGTGATGGAAGAGTGGCTCAAACTTGGCAGATAAAGCAGATCCAACTAGATTTACAATGTGCTTTTAGACTCTGTCTAAGAGTGAGAATCTTGTTATTCATCAGTATAGGAGTGTCAATATTGAGATAGTTGTTAGCAGTAAATAACTAAGTTTTATTGGAGTTAAAATCCACAAGCCACTGCTTTCCTCAAGCTGTTATATAATTAAAGTATAAAATTAAGTTGTCACCAATTAGAGTCACTTTAGATGTAAGATTGTCGGGAAGATTATTATTGTAGGTAAGAAACAATACAGGAGCAAGAAGATAGAACTTTGCAGTACTTCTAAAGTTACTAGAAATGAAGAAGAGTGTTGGCCTTTAAGAACGATTCTGCAGTTAGAAAGAAATGATTTAATAATCTTAAAACTTTTAAATAAATAAATTAATAATAGAGAGGACTAGTTAGAGAGGTCAGTGATAGTTAGAGAGATCAGTGTGTTTTCTAGAGTTTTTAAATATTGGAACCACTTATTTAGCACTTGATAATAGTTTAGCAAGGATTGAAGAGAATTCTAGAGAACATTTTTGGAAGGCTATGTTGGAAATGTTATCTGAACCACAAGCTGTAAAAAGTTAAAACTGAGATTGCACTTAAGCATCTGAAGTCAAAGTAAGGGGTTGTCCGCAAATTACATACGCTTTTTTTTTTGTCCACTCCCCCCCCCCCCCCCCTTTTTTTTTTTTTTTTTTTTTTTTTTTGAGTACCCTCCACCTCCCTAAATGTACTTATGCCTTTAACCTATTTATCTAACATTTTATGATATTTTTTTAAATTTAGTGTCTTCTTTCTTTTATAATTGACCAACTGTCCTCCCATCTCATACATGCCATTTGCAGACCCCCTTTTCCCTTCTGAGCATACGTACTTTATGGACGATCCCTAATTTGGATGACTAACAACAAGTTAATTTGTTTAAATGAATTTGCAGGAAGAGTAGAGATTCAAGAGTCAAATTAGAAGAAAAGTTCATTGTAAATAACTATGCCTTATTCTGGGGAAAATTAATAAGATCAGACCCATGAATTGAAATATTAGACTTACTTTAGTTAATGACACTGTTAAAAATTTTGCAAAAGTCTCTGAAAAATCTTTAACAGTAAGATAAGATAGGACCTTTTTACATTAACTTCTGGCAATAATAAAAAGACATTTGTTCTCAATAGAGATGTTCTTGTAAAAAAGACAAAAATGATAACGATTTAATATAGCAACTGCATAAGAAGGAGAAGAACATATTTTTAAAACAAGTTGAATGAGGCTTGATTTAAAAATATAAGGAATAAAAGCTTCGATACTTGTTTGGATTTATGACGTTTAGGTAATAGGTGCATTTATGCATACATAATATAGATATATATGGGTATAAACATATGTTTGCAATTTATTTAGATGCTAGTCTACAATATCTTTATATATTTTATAAACTTTAGTATTTATATGGTGCAGTATTTGCCGAAAGAGAAAATGATGATCAGATGGATGTGTATGTGACTCTAATAAGACAAAATAAAAGAGCCAAATTTTTAGACAGATTAGAAAAAACATTATATCAAATAGCGTTTGTCAGAGAAGATTAAAGTGGTTTGGGTGTCAGCATGTAGAGAGGTAGCAGTTTAAGATTTAGTTAAGGAAAGAAAATGCTTGAGTTTTTTTATATTAGAGAAAGGTCGTCCATAAATTAAGTCACACAATTTTTGACAATTTTGAACCCCTCTCCACTCCACCCCAAATTTTAGATTTTAATGTTTTATTTGAAAGTTGTTTTGTATGTTTTGACTAATGTTGTTGTTTAATTATAACTATATTTGTTAGTTAAATTTTTAAAGTTTCACATATAATAATCAGTAATAATCAATGCATACATAAACTCACTGAATTAGCTGTAGTCGCTGTGTAGTTACATACATTGACTGAATTAGATAGGTATGGGGGAAGTGGGGTGTGAATATATTTATTTTTGCACTCCTATAGTTCGATATGAAGTTGTGTAAATTAATAGTGACTAAATAGACAAATAATCTCAGAAGATTTTTTGATAAATATATTTAAATAACTTAATTTAAATAACTTTATAATATATAAATATATTATTTAAATAACTTTAGTAATATATTAGTGTCGCGGTGCAGGTTGCATTAACATTATAATATTTTATGGTAATGCGTTAATAATGTTGCTTAGTTATTATTATATTATTATTTGATAATTATATTATTAATTATTTTTTTATCTATTATATTGGCTATATCATCAACTCATAAAGTTGTAGATATAGCAGATTCTAAATTAATTGATTAAGGTTTAAGCTAATTTATATAAAGTCAATTCCAATTAATGTTAAATTGGAACAGCCACAGTCAAGCGTACATCAACTGAGGTTTATGTTTTAGGCTAGACACTTTTTTAATCAATAGAAAAGTTTATCTAGTTTTAAGCCTTAAAAAAAAAAGAAATGTTGTATCACAAAAATAAATTTGCCGCCCTCAACTCCCCTTGTAACAAATTATTACAAAATTGCTCACCCCTTTCCTATCACATGACATAGTCCATAAATTGTCACGCAATGTGGTAGGGGGGGCTACCTTATTGTGTGACAGTTTGTGAATATAATTGTGATGATGATGATGATGATGTTGATGATGATTATGTGGATCTTGAAATTGTATATATTTTTATATCAAGTATAACAAATTTTTTACTTAAAAAAGTATATTTTAGGATGGTCACAAACTGGACCCAGGCTATTTTATATTAAAACCGGCGCTGGCCCTGTTAAATATATCAGAGTATTAGCAGTGTCATGTTGTGCATGGGTTGTTTCCATATAAGTACATTTAGTGTGATTTGTTGAGACCAAATTCATATTAAGTATGACTTTAGTTTGATTTGTAGAAATGAGGAAACCACATAGCTTACTGCTTAAGGTGTCATACACTATCAATGATTGAGACAAGCTCTCTAATTATTAAACATGAATAAAATGACTTATAATACTAATGAAAAAAAATCATTATTGCCATCATATTGTTTTGATCTTTTAAAAATATCAATAACTTTTCATCAGTTAAATTTTACCTTTTGTAAAATTCACCTCGTCTACTTGCTCTTTGTAAGATAAATTCAATTTAAATTTAGCTTTTCCATTTCAGGGTTTAACCAGCCTGATGGCACAGCGTATAAACCATAATTCCCATTTTGAGCAAATTTTTGCTTTAAATCATAGATGAGTTTTTTCCGGGAATTCCCGGAATTCCGGAAATTCACATCAAGTTTCCGGGAAATTCCGGATGCTTTTTGCTATTGATTTGTAAAAAGTTATATAAAATTTTAAATACGACATGGTTTGCATTTAAGCAATTATGTTTTCTATAAATGAAATTTTCACGAGACTAATTTTTTCAAAAAATTTTTTTCTTTTTAATTCATTCAAATTAACTTTTTCGAATATTAGAAATTCTTTTTCTTAAGAAG